TCCCTCGGGCCGCGGAACACCCCCCCCTTTCCCCGACTCTAAGTGCTTCGCTAAAGTATAATGACACACCCCACCTCAACGACCAGACAAGAACCCCCCTAGGAAAAAGCATACAGCGCTCTTCTTCTCCTTCTTTCCCTCCCTCCTTCTCTCTTTCCTTTCTTCCCCCTTTCCCACCACTTTCATTCTGTGTCCTCAGCGTGAGGGGGAGGGGGCAGGGGAGGTGTGTTGACATCTTCCTTTTTTGAATGTAAAGGTGTTTTGTGGTTTTTTTTTCAGTGATGGTCACTCCTTGGATTGTGGGGAGTTTTATTGCCAAATTTGGGGCCATTTGGCCCTGTAGTTTTTTTGTTTTTAAGCCACTCACTATGCACAGAACATTTATATATATATAGATATGTATATGTATATGTATATGTATGGGTATGGGTATGGGTATGGGTATGGGTACGGGCATGGGTAAAGGTTCCCCCGACATTAAGTCTAGTCATGTCTGACTCTGGAGCCAAAGAGGTGGCGTTGTCCATACAGGCCTCCTAAGTCATGTGGCTGGCATGACTACATGTAGCGCCGTTACTTTCCCGCAGGAGCGGTACCTATTGATCTGCTCACATTTGCCTGTTTTCAAACTGCTAGGTTGGCAGAAGCTGGGGCTAACAGCGGGAACTCACCCCACTCCCTGGATTTGAACCACCGAGCTTTCAGTCAGCAAGTTCAGCAGCTCAGCGGTTTAAACCACTGCACCACTGGAGTCTCTCTCTCTCTCTCTTTCTCTATATTGAGTAGCATAGGAAAGGGTTAACATCCCTGTGATGTTTGTATGTGTCCCTGTTTAGAAGATTTCTCCTCATTTTCCATTCCTGTGATAATTAGATTTTGAAAAGAATAATTTGTTGTTGGTACAAGGATGGTTGCTAACGCTTCGGTTGAGACACCTTTTCACCATGGTAACTCTTTCAGGAATGCATATCCCTTCCAAGGGGTAGATTTCTCTTACTTCCTCTTGTCTCACCCCTGTTGTTAAGTATGAGTTGATGTTTGCAACTTGGGAATTACCTGTATACGTCAGCTGCAGGATTGCCCCAAAGCATACTTCAGCCTGAGATGAAAGACAAGGTGATTACTTCAGAAGTTTGAGGAAGGCCTGTGTCACAGACAGATCTGTCCTTTGACATTTTATGGTTTTTTCCCTCTACTCTTACATACATCTCAGCATCTTATATTTATTCATTTATTTATTTACTATACTTGTATACCGCCCCTCTCAGCCCGGACGCGACTCGAGGTGGTTTACATTTGGCAATCAATGCCCCACAAGATAAAATACAGCCAAAAACAAATTACATATAGTATAAACCATATAAAAACAATAAACAATGAACAATTAAAATCATAAAATACAATTCTCAGCGTCTCATCACTAAAATCATTTTTCATTGTCGTTCCATGAGTCTCAATTAATCAGTTATACTGCTTCTGCAAATGCCTGCTCGAACAGCCAGGTCTTAACTCTCTTTCGAAATGTCAGGAGGGCATTCTATAGCCAGGGGACCACTGCTGAGAAGGCCCTGTCTCTCGTTCCCGCCAATCGGATCTGCAAAGAAGGCGGGACTGAGAGCAGGGCCTCTCCAGATGATCTTAAACACCTATATCCAAAACACTTGTCTTATATTGCCTAGCCATGAGGATTACACTGGACCAGTAAGGCCATGTGACTTTCCAATAATCAAGAGTTGCCGGCAAATGGGACTTCCTTAAATGTCCCATTTGCTGGAATTCAGTTTCAGTTTTTCAGGGACTGATAAAAGCAGTGATTTCCAAACTCTAGTTCTCCTGGTGTTTTGGACTTCAATTCTCAGGTGCCTCAGGGATCAGATATTCAGGGAATTAGGAGACCAAAATTAGCTAAATACTGGATTAAAGCAAGGGATTTACTAATGGCTCCTGATCCTATCTGATCCTGGAAGCTAATTAGAGCTGGGTGTGTAAAGCCTGTATTTATCACTGACATAGGTGCTACTAGCTCCAACTAAGGCTGAATCTACACTGCCCTGTATACCAGTATCTGATCCCAGGTTATCTGCTTATCCCAGACTATCTGACAATGTGGACTCATATAATCCAGTTCAAAGCAGCTAACCTGGGATCATATCCTGGGATATAGGGCTCTGTAGATCCAGTCTGAGAGACCATAAAGCATACTGGCACATTCTGAATCAACTTTTTTTTCCCTTTCAGAAAACCCTTGTTGTTACAGATCTGAATTCTGTTCTTTGTGATCCCAAGCAATGGGAGACGCCTAATGAATTCAACCCAAACCATTTTTTGGACAAGGAAGGGAAATTCATCACTAGAGAAGAATTCTTGCCATTTGGAGCAGGTAAGTATAGAATTAAGATACAGAATATTGTCGAAGGCTTCCATGGCTGGAATCACTGTGTTGTTGTAGGTTTTCCAAGCTTATATGGCCATGTTCTAGAAGCATTCTCTCCTGACGTTTCGCCTGCATCTATGGCAGGCATCCTCAGAGGCTGTGAGGTCTGTTGAAACAACAGACCTCACAATTTTCACCCCAGCTTTGCATTCCTCAAGCCCCGCACATCGCATGATGTGTTCTACATACAAGTTGAATAGGTTGGGTGAGAGTATATAGCCCTGCCGTACGCCTTTTCCAATTTTGAACCAGTCTGTTGTTTCATAGTCAGCTCTTACTGTTGCTACTTGGTCCTTATACAGATTCCTCAGGAGAGAGACAAGGTGGCTTGGTATGCCCATCCCACCAAGAACTTGCCACAATTTATTATGATCCACACAGTCAAAGGCTTTAGAATAGTCAATGAAGCAGAAATAGAAGTTTTTCTGAAACTCCCTGCCTTTCTCCATTCTCCAGCATCCGGATATTGGCAATCTGGTCTCTCGTTCCTCTGCCTTTTCTAAACCCAGCTTGAACATCTGGCAACTCTCGCTCCATGTATTGCTGGAGTCTTCCTTGCAGGATCTTGAGCATTACCTTACTGGCATGAGAAATAAGGGCCACTGTATGGAAGTTTGAGCAGTCTTTCGCATTTCCCTTCTTTGGTATGGGGATATAAGTTGATCTTTTCCAGTCTGATGGCCATTCTTGTGTTTTCCATATTCCATTTTTATTATACATACTAGCTGTACCCGCCACGCGTTGCTGTGGCCAACCTTCCCCCTATCTCCCCTTCTTTCCCTCCTTCCTTCACTCCCTGTTTCCTTCCTTCCTTCCCGTCTTTCCTTCTCTCCTTCCTTCCTTCTCTATCGCTTTCCTTCCTTCCCCCTTTTTCTTTCTCTTCTGCTGTCTCTCTTTTCTTCCTTCTCTCTTTCCTCCTTTCTTTCCCTCCCTCTTTCTCTACATTTTATCCCCTTCCTTCGCTCCCTCTTTCCTTCCTTCTTCCTTTTTCTCTTCTGCAGTCTCTCTTTTCTTCCTTCTCTCTTTCCATCTTTCCTTCCCTCCCTCTTTCTCTACATCTTCCCCCCTTCCTTCGCTCCTTCTTTCCTTCCTTCTTTCCCTTTTTTCTTTCCTTCTCTCCTTCCTTCTTTCTCTAACTTTCCTTCCTCCCCCTTTTTCTTTCCCTCCCTCTTTCTCTCCTTTCTTCCTTTTCTACCTCATTCCTTCCTTCTTGCTTTCCCTCCCTCTTTCTCTCCTTTCTTCCTTTTCTACCTCATTCCTTCCTTCCTTCTCTTTCTTTCCCTCCCTCTTTCTCTCCTGTCAGGGGTGATTTGAATGCAATATTCCTGCTTCTTGGCAGAATGGGGTTGGACTGGATGGCCCATGAGGTCTCTTCCAACTCTTTGATTCTATGATTCTATGATTCTTCCTTGACAGATTAGAAGGGGGCGTGGCTTGGAGGTAATGTGAGGAGGGAGGGGAGGGGGGATGGGTTTAGAAGGGGCGTGGCTTGGGGGTAACGTGAGGAGGGGGGGGGGGTTTAGAAGGGGGCGTGGCTAGGAGGTAACGTGAGGAGGGTAGAGGGAGGAGGGGAGGGGGGATGGGTTTAGAAGGGGGCGTGGCTTGGGGGTAACGTGAGGAGGGAGGAGGGGAGGGGGGATGGGTTTAGAAGGGGGCGTGGCTTGGAGGTAACGTGAGGAGGGAGGAGGGGAGGGGGGATGGGTTTAGAAGGGGCGTGGCTTGGAGGTAGTGAGGAGGGGGGAGGGGAGGGGGATGGGTTTAGAGGAGGGGGCGTGGCTTGGAGGTAACGTGAGGAGGGTAGAGGGAGGAGGGGAGGGGATGGGTTTAGAAGGGGGCGTGGCTTGGAGGTAACGTGAGGAGGGAGGAGGGGAGGGGGATGGGTTTAGAAGGGGGCGTGGCTTGGAGGTAACGTGAGGAGGGGGGAGGGGAGGGGGGATGGGGTTAGAAGGGGGCGTGACTTGGAGGTAACGTGGGAGGGAGGGGAGGGGGGATGGGTTTAGAAGGGGCGTGGCTTGGAGGTAACGTGAGGAGGGAGGAGGGGAGGGGGGATGGGTTTAGAAGGGGGCGTGGCTTGGGGGTAACGTGAGGAGGGGGGAGGGGGGATGGGTTTAGAAGGGGGCGTGGCTAGGAGGTAACGTGAGGAGGGTAGAGGGAGGAGGGGAGGGGGGATGGGTTTAGGAGGGGGCGTGGCTTGGGTAACGGGGAGGGAGGAGGGGAGGGGGGATGGGTTTAGAAGGGGGGCGTGGCTTGGGGTAACGTGAGGAGGGAGGAGGGAGGGGGATGGGTTTAGAAGGGGCGTGGCTTGGGGGTAACGTGAGGAGGAGGAGGGGAGGGGGGATGGGTTGTAGAAGGGGGCGTGGCTTGGAGGTAACGTGAGGAGGGGGGAGGGGGAGGGGGATGGGGTTAGAAGGGGGCGTGGCTTGGAGGTAGCGAGAAGGTGAGGAGGGGAGGGGGGATGGGTTTAGAAGGGGCGTGGCTTGGAGGTAACGGTGAGGAGGGAGGAGGGGAGGGGGATGGGTTTAGAAGGGGGCGTGGCTTGGAGGTAAGGTGAGGAGGGAGGAGGGGAGGGGGGATGGGTTTAGAAGGGGGCGTGGCTTGGAGGTAACGTGAGGAGGGAGGAGGGGGGGGGGGTTTAGAAGGGGGCGTGGCTTGGGGGTAACGTGAGGAGGGAGGAGGGGAGGGGGATGGGTTTAGAATGGAGATACCAACATGAAGGTGAAAAAGACTTCACCTTCTTTTCCCACAGACACAAAATTTGGACACGTATCGACATGGCCTGGGGATCCAAAACAATATTACCTAACATACTAAAAAGTAAAATATTGCCGATGATAAACTCAGACCACTCCCCGATATTAATAATAATAAATCTATATCAAAAAGAAAATAACATCTATAACTGACGTTTGAGGGATAATCTCATAAAAGATCTAAAACAAGTGGAACACACAAATTCGACAATAATGGAATATTTCGATTTTAACATAGATAAGGGAACACCTATAAATATTGTATGGGATGCCAAAAAGGCCTATATTAGAGGACATTTCCTTGAACGAGGGGCTAGAATGAAAAAGACCAAAAAGGAAGAAAGCGACAAACTTCTTAGAGAAATATCCAAAGCCGAAACCCAAGTAAAAGAAAACCCACACAACAAAAAAACCCTACTACATCTAGAGCTACTGAAGAAACAAATGAACACCCTGCAAATAGAGGAGATAGAAAAGAAACTTAAATTCGCCAAACAATATCACTTCGAAAATGCAAACAAGATTGGGAAATGGTTAATGAGAAGAATCAACATTAAAAAACAAAAGAGACATATAACGAAAATAGAGACGAATGAAACAAGTTTCTTCCAAACAAAAGACATTATGGAACAATTTGTGAATTATTATAAAGAACTTTATAAGGATGAGAAAGTCCCAGAGGAAAAAATCTCACAATACTTAGGAAGGCAGGATATACCACGCATATCAGATGAACAAAGGGATGCTTTGAATAGAATCATCACACAAGAGGAGATCAAAACAACAATAAAAAACATGCCGATAGATAAAGCGCCAGGACCGGATGGTTTTACCATCAAATATTACAAAACCTTCCAGGAAACTCTAACACCTTTTCTGCAGAGAATATTTAACAATATATTAGAGGAAGGTAGCATTCCTGATTCCTGGAGAACAGCCTCCATCTCGCTTATTCACAAAGAAAATACAAACAGCACGTCGGTCAAAAACTACAGACCCATCTCGTTACTTAACGTTGATTATAAAATTTTTACAGGAGTGTTAGCTAACAGATTAAAAAATCTACTAAATCAAATAATAATGGAAGATCAAACAGGGTTCCTACCCAAACGCCAATTAAAGGACAACATAAGAACCGTAGTAAACATCATAGACTACTGTGAAAAAACAAAACAGAAAGAAGTAGGCCTAATGTTCCTCGACGCAGAGAAAGCGTTCGACCGGGTGAACTGGAATTTTATTAGGGCAGTATTGAGAGAAATGGATATTGGATATCAATTCACCAAAGCGATAGGAGCCATATACAACGAACAAACTGCAAAAATAACGGTCAATGGTCAACAATCGGTAGATATCCCTATATTGAAAGGGACAAGGCAGGGATGTCCTCTATCGCCGCTGATATTCATTTTAACCCTTGAAAACCTGCTTAACAACATAAGGAAAAACCCGGAATTAATAGGACTAAAAATTAAAGGCCATTGCTTTAAACTACGCGCATTTGCGGACGATGTTGTGTGCTTTGTGGAGGACCCAACTAATAACATAAATAAATGGCTATCAATAATTGATGAATATGGCGAAGTAGCGGGACTAAAAATAAATAGAGACAAAACACAAATTATTGCTAAAAACATGTGTAAGGAGAACCAGGAAAAGCTACTAGAATTGTCGAAAATAAGAGTCAGCAATAAAGTAAAATATCTCGGAATAACGATTACTCCGAATAATAATTACCTCATTAAAAACAACTATGAGAAGAAATGGTCAGAAATCCAGAAAAAACTGCAGAAATGGTCTCAGCTAAATCTATCACTATTAGGTAAAATAGCTGTAATTAAAATGAATGTGTTGCCAGATCTCCTCTTTATATTCCAATCATTACCAATTCTGAAAACAAAGACAATGATAGATAAGTGGCAAAAAGAAATCATTAAATTCATTTGGAACAACAAGAAACATAGAATAAAGGCGACACATCTGGTGGATGATAAAAGGAGAGGGGGACTGGCCCTCCCTGAGATTCAACTATACTATGACGCTGCCGCCCTAAGTTGGATCCGAGACTGGGCAACACTCAATAAAGAGAAGATTCTAGCAGTGGAAGGGTTCGATATAAATCAGGGATGGCATGCTTATCTCTGGAGAGACAAAGACAAAAAAGAAAAACTCTTTAAAAACCATCCAATAAGAGCC